CACTATATATATATATATATATATATATGAATTATCTCTATCAGGCACTTAGAGTTAGGTACTTACATAATCGTGTATAAATTATGTATATTTATACGTAAATTATGTATATTTACATGTAAATTTATATATATTTAACATGAAATATAATAAATCAGTCAATATATATATTTTCATGCTATGTGTTCACTAATTGTTATAAAAAATACATGTTTTGAGGATTAATATACATTATCATTTCTTATAACTTAACATACACAATTTATACGTAAATATATACGATTTACATGTAAATATATACGATTATATAAATATACACAATTTATTTATAAATATATATAATTTATTTATAAATATACATAATTCATACATAATTATAGAAATATTTAATTAATAAATTATTTTTTAAGTATCTGATCAGAGACCTTCCTTATATACATGACGCGTGGTTAGCACATAAAATTTTAGCCATCGACCTTAAATAAAGGGTCATGATTAATTGTAATGTTTGTTCTGATTTTTTTTTTCCCCAGTGAATAGGGGTAGCTAGTATTTGACGTCAGACAAAAGTAATATAAAGAAAGATGAGAAAGTACAAAAGTAGACTAAAATAATGGTGGAGTTATTGAGGGCCACGTGATGTTTAATGCCACGTCTTAGGAAAAACATTTAAAGGTGTTCTAATATAACAAGGCTAAAAAGTTGACACGGTTATAATGAATTTTTAACGACGCTTTTAAACAATATAATATAGGTTAATTTACAACATTTCCAAGATGCTAAATGTTCAAGAAACGTTTAGTTTATGGATTAAAATCATGATATTATAATTATTTTTGATTTATGTGTATTTTTTATAAGAGAAAATACTATAGCGAACCACGAACCATTATTCGAATCAGAGTACGAATCCTCCAACCAAACATCTCCTAAATCTAAACCATGATAACGTTAGGTTGCTAAAATGAAAATAAGCACATACGTTACATAAAAATCGTCTATAATTAAAATCATGGCCATCTTAATTTGCTATCAGTGGCAGAACGACTTTAGACTGAGTGAGGACGGCCGACTCAACTGACTAAAGTTATCCCTTTAATATTACCCCAACTAATTCTTTTATAGAGAAAGATAAAAATAAGCCAAGACTTGAGATGAATTAAAATTAATAGGTTAATAATTTACATAAGTTAATAAATAGGCTAAATTAAGGTATATTCAGATTTATCAATACATAAAATTCTAAAAATGCCATTTCCACTCAAAAAACCCTAACAGCTCTCTCTCTCTCTCACTAACCTCCGCTCTCTCTCTCTCTTCCTTCCGGCGCTCTCTGGCGAACTGTTTCTTCCCTCCACCGCTTTCCCACGATCACTCTCTCTTCCCTCCGGCGCTCTCCGGCGAACTATTTCTTCCCTCCGCCGTTCTCCTATGATCACTCTCTCTTCCCTCCGGCCCTATAACACGATCTGTCTCTCTTCCATCTGAATCTCTCTCTCTCATCCCTTCACCAATCCCAGATCCTTATCTGCTACCGTTTCTCTCTCTTCGGTCCGCCACTCTCAGAAACCTCGCCGGTGTCGTTAGATGAGAAATTGAAGAACAAGACCAAAGACGTAAAAAATTAACAGAAGAACAAGGAAAATACGTTAATCACTAACCGGAAACCACTAATTCATTTGAATATGTTAATATTGATTTTTAGACTTTTAGCTTATGTTTGCGATTGAAACTTGAATGAAAAGATTGTAAACATGTAATTATTCAAAAATTAAGAACATGGACTCGTTACAACTATAATTGGAATCCTATCGTATAGTAAGGCTCTATCCATAACTCAACACAACTTCAAAAATCAAGTTATGGTCAGGTTATGATCATAACCTGTCGAGTTATGTCATTATTGAATCTGAAAATTACAAGTGCAGGTCAGATTATTCAAATTGACGAAGATAGATCACTGTCAAGTTATGGTTATTTTGAGAGAAATAAATCACGATGAAGTTCAAAGAGAAATGCCACCAGCAGCATCAACAAAACTAGACAAGATGGTAATTGATCTAAGTAATCTGCTTAACAAAGGAAAACATTTTGAAGCCAACCAAGTAGCCATGAAAGAGGATCTGAAAGAAATAAAGGCAATGGTTGTAAATTCTGTGGACATTATGAGAACCATTCAACAAGATGTGCTTCTGTTTCTCAAAGAAATACAAAACAATTCAGCTTCTGAGGTAATGAAACAACGCAAAATAATGTTGACTTTGTTTTTGCAATGTTTCCTTAATGATATACTAATTTGTACCTCAATGAACAGGAAGACAGAGAAAAAGAATTATCTGCAGAGCTGGGAGAACATGAGGGAGAATTCAGTTATACTCCACCCACGGACTCGTTTGATATCAGTAAACAAACATTGGACAAAACATTTGAAGAAGATGAAAATATAATAGCAATGAGAAAAGTTGCTACTCAAGGAATCAAAAAGATATGAATCTTCTTAATACTACTTGGGAAAGGAAAAAAAAAACCAGACCCAGATTAATACTAATCAAAAACTTATAATTGCAGGAAGAAGATTATAAAGAAATAGAAAATGAGGAAGAAGAAAAATCAATGAAGAAATACAAAAGAAAAAGTGCAAAGGAACATAGGAAAAAAATGGAAGAGCTTGGCATTCCTTCATTCATCCTCTTCACCCAAAGTTCTAACGACCTAGACTCGTAAAAATGAGATGATGTTAGAATACAACCTTTTGGATGATATAACTACTGTTTCTAAAAACTAGTCTTATATGTTAAATGATGACTTGAGATTTACACTACTTCTTACAATCTTTTGAATGTTAATATTCATTGACAAGACTTTTAAATTATGTTTGAGATTGACACTTGAATAAAAAAGAATGTAAACCCAGGATTTATCAATTTCATGCTGTTGAATCTGAAAATTACAAGTGCAGGAACACTATCAAGTTATGGTCAGGTAATGATGATCGAGTTATGATCATAACCTTTTGACTTGTGTCATTATTGGAACTGAAAATTTAAAGTGCAGGAACACTGTCAGGCTATCATCAAGTTATGGTAATCACATGTCAAGTTATATTGCATAACTGGACAAGTTATGTAAAAATATGTCAAATGTGTACCATAACCTATCAAATTATGATACATATCCGGACAAGTTATGAAAAAATTGTCAATTATGGACCATAAACAGTCAAGTTATAGTGTATAACCGAACAAGTTATGGACAAAAATGCTAAATTAGGACAATAACTTGTCAAGTTATGGTTTATAACTAGACAAGTTATGGACGAAAACTGGAAATTATGGACAAAAACTGTGAATTATGGACAATAACTTGTCAAGTTATGGTTCATAACCAGACAAGTTATGGATAATAACTGTGAATTATGGACAAAAACTCTGAATCAGGACAATAACTTTTCAAGTTATGGTTCATAACCAAACAAGTTATGGACAAAAATTGAAAATTATGGAGAAAAACTGTGAATTATGGACAATAACTTGTCAAGTTATGGTTCATGACCAGACAAGTTATGAACAATAACTGTGAATGATGGACAAAAACTCTGAATTAGGACAATAACTTGTTAAGTTATGGTTCATAACCAAACAAATTATGGACAAAAACTGGAAATTTTGGATAAAAACTGCGAATTATGAACAATAACTTGTTAAGTTATGGTTCAAAACCAAACAAGTTATCGATAAAAACGCTGAATTAGGACAATAACTTGTCAAGTTATAGTTCATAACCATACAAGTTATGGACGAAAACTGAAAATTATGGATAATAACCGTGAATTATGGACAATAACTTGTCAAGTTATGGTTCATAACCAGACGAGTTATGGACAAAAACTATGAAAAATGACAATAACTTGTCAAGTTATGGTTTATAACCAGACAAGTTATGGACAAAAACTGTGAGTTATGGACAATAACTTGTCAAGTCATGGTTCATAACCAGACAAGTTATGGACGAGCATTACATGTAAAAATATGCAAAATAACTTGAAACTTGTTTACTTAATAAAATTGAAAACAAATATAATCTGTACCAAAAGTAGAAACAAACAAGAATCTGAAAACCAACAAGTTAATCCATATAATCATCCAAGTCGAACTTAATGGCATATGTTGGCATCATAAAATTCATTTTTAGGGCATTTTGACCCCTGTTATCATCACTTTCATATCCCACTTGCTTCTTCCGCAAGGCATGGTTGAACAACTCAACTGCCATATTCTTGCGGAACAATGTTCCAGCCCCTTCTTTTCTCAAACAATCATCAGATCCGGCTTCCGTTAATATCTCAACCATCTTAAGCATAAATATTCCACAATCACCACTACAAAAAACAACCATA